GAGTAGGTATCCTTTTAATTAAGAGTGTGAATTACATGTTCACGTGCATGTGATTAAGCACAATTCTTTGACCCAAGGAAAGTGTTTTCTGTGCTTTGTGGAGCCCTAATCCCAATGAGTGACACCAAAGGCTTACTTTGTTAGGCAGTAATGCCCTCAAGGTCCATCCTTACCTTCTGAGTTTAGAAGCAAGATCTTTGTAATCCCTTATAGAGGATGAAGTTTAACAGTTTGGAAGAAAGTGTTTGATTGAAACAGGAGCTATTGTCCACATTTTCGGAGCAGAGCCAGCACTTAGGCGCTCACGGGCTCTTTGTCAGTGATTGAGTTCTTAACCTAGTGGTGGCTACTTGGGCTGTGCTAACTAGACTAGGGTATCACCTGCTGGTTTTAAGATCCTTCACTTGCTAGTTCAATCAATGCTGCTTTAATCCCCTCACAGCCATGTGGGTTGAGCAGCAGAACTAGTATCTTACTCATGACTCATTTTGTTTTCAAGGTTACTAAATTGTGTGCAAATGCTTTTTTTTTTTTTTTTTTAAAGAAGGGTTTAGGGGAGTTATCCATGCACAGTAGTAGTAGGTTCTGGGTGCTGGTTGTAGGAAAAGTGGTGAGATGTGTGGTAATAAGACAGAGGTACTATAAAGCCATAAATGCATGGGTTAACGGAAGGGAGACAAGAAGGTGAGGGATGAACCAGAGATTTCTGCAGTGCCCACAGCCTGGGAGGACCCACGAGTACCCCAGGGCAGAGGGAATGCAGGGGCCTGGGGAACACTGAAGAGGGAGGGGGTCGCAGCCTGCACTGCCGCGTGGCTTATTGTAACCTGGAAAGAACGGGTGTTAGATGAAGGGAGAAAGGATGTGGAAATGAATTTTGAGCACATTTTAGGAAAGGGGGAAAGTCACAGAGGAATGAGGAAAGACGATTTTAACTTGAGATTGGCTGTTGAATTTAATTCGACTTGGCTGTGGGCCGCTCCAGGAATGCTGGGGTGGTAACCTGTTTTGAGACAGCTTACCTGAGGTGTGGGCGTTCCAGTCTCACCCTGGATGGATTCCAGTGACATCTGTGACCAGGTGCCGAGACGTACCGGACACTGTCTTCGATCACAGACCTTCCAAGTAGTTTGTGAGTAGTCATTGCCCTGGAGTTAAACTCCGTGGTGAAACGGGAGGGAATGCTGGTGCTGTATCAAGTGTTGTGGAAGAAGATGGGAAGGAGAGAGTGTCACCGTGGAGAGAAGGACCACTGGGGCATAGCTGGGCTGAGGGATGGCTCCTTTGGCAGTGGCCTGGAATTGTTAAGTAAACTCCCTCAGGAATAAGTAGGAATCCAGGTGTCAGTTGACTCAGTTGTCCATCTCTGATTCCTTACTTAGGTGGTGAGAGATAATTTAGGCTCCTATGAAAGCAGCCCTGCCATCAAATGGAAATGAAAACCTTCAACCTTTGTTGGCACCCGTAGGGCCCAGCTGGCTTTTTGATTTGCACAATGAAGGGAATTGGGAGGGTCCTTAAGTCAAGAGCCACTGGGAAAGAAATTTGCCTAACTGAGTAATTTCATCTATTAGAGATATTAGAGTCTTTCTAATGGGGCCCAGATGTAATTACTTAAGAGCTCTGTTGTGGTAATGGCTGGTATTTGTCTGGTGGGATTTTCTAGTTTTCTTCAAAGCAGCCCCGGATGACCTCTCAACAGCTCTGGGAGGTGCTTTCTCCAGGTGTCCTTCTCATTTGCAGGAGGCCAATCTGAGAAATGATGAGGCTAGTTCAAGGTCACGCAACAGGATGTGGCAAAGTCCTAGACTCTAACTCAGCATAATTATTTTTTACTCATTTAATTTTTAAAAATTTTGTTAAAATGCACGTAACATAAAATTATCATCTTATCTATTTGAAGTGTACAGTTCAATAGTGTTAAGCACATTTACATTGTGCAACCAATTTCACAGTTCTTTTCGTGTTGTATTAGTGTTTTATAAAACACTGACTTCTCACTTCCCCTTCCTTCCAGCCCCTGGCAACTACCCTTCTGCTTTCTGTCTCTCTGAATTTGACCACTCCAAGTACCTCCTGCAAGTGGATTCCTACAGTGTTGGTCCTTTTGTGTCTGCACCATTTTACATTCCCGCCAGCATTGTGCAAGAGTTCCAGTTTCTCCACAACCTTGCTAACGCGTTTCTATTCTAATATGTGTGAGGCGCTATCTCATTGTGGTTTTGATCTGCGTTTCCCTAATGATTAGTGATGTTGAGCATCTTTTCCTGGGCAAGCACAATTTTATTTTATTTTTTTAAAATTTTATTTTATTTTAAAATTTTATTTTTGTTTAAAATATTACAGATGTCCCTTTTTCTCCCCAGTGACCCGCTCCACCCTGTCCCTTCCCCCTCCCCAGTCCCTCTCCCCGCCATTGTCCGTGTCCTTGGGTTGTGCATATATGCATATAAATTCTTTGGTTACTCTCTCCCCCTCCACCCACCCGCCCTCCTCCATCCCTCTGACCTTCATCAGTCTCATCTATGCTTCCATGTCATTGAATCTATTCTGTTCATCAGTTTATTAAGTTCTTTAGATTCCCCGTATAGGCGAGATCATGTGATATTTGTCTTTCGCTGCCTGGCTTATTTCACTTAGCATAATATTCTCCAAGTCCATCCATACTGTCTCAAAAGGTACGAGATTCTTCTTCTTTACAGCTGCGTAGTATTCCATGGTGTAAATGTCCCATAGCTTTTTTATCCACTCATCTACTGATGGGCACTTGGGTTGTTTCCAGATCTTAGCTATTGTAAACTGGCAAGCACAATTTTAAAGAGGGCCTTTCAGGGCCGGATATCATCATCTGGGTAAATTCCAGGGCTAACTGCCTGAGCATTTTCTGCAGGGAACAGCTGTAATAGAAATGGCCCAACTCGTTTCAAACCTGTTTCGTGGTAAAGCTCACAGATTTATACTATTGCTTTGGAAGGAAATTGAGACCTAGAGATGTTAAATGACTGGCAAAAAGCCATGGGAGTTACACAAATTTGGACCTTTTAGAAATGAAGGTGGGGAAGAGGGGGAAAGTCGAGGCTGTGGGAACCCTGGTGTTCTCAGTGTCCTTGCCGAGACTAGAATCCAGTCTTCCTGTTCCTGTTCCAGGGCTCTTTAGAGGTCCCAGGCCACCAGGGTTAGCAAAATCTGGAGCTCAGTTTCTCTTACTGCTTCCTTAGTGATTCACAGATGTTCATTTATTCAACAAATAATTCTTGAGCACCTCCTCTGCACCCAGTGCTGTGCCTGGGGATGAAGCAGTAAAGGAGAGAAACATGATCTCTGCTTCCATGGGTGGTTGTCTGGCTTCAGAAGGTTCCCTACCCTGGCAAAATCAGTAGAATGGTGTTAATCTTTGGTTGAGCTCTGCATATTAATTATTATCACTTAAATAATGCGTAACGGATAATGACAGTTTATTTGAAAAGGGTTTTTCTCGGCGTCCTTTATAAAGTTACTGTTTTCCTTTCATAATTAAAAGGTAATTAGTAGTGATATGATTTGAGATTACGTGAATATTCTCTTCCACATCAAACTTTCACTAGATTTAACTTCCTTTGATAATTTCTAACTCCTTTGTTCCCTCAACATTTATTTGCATTCAAGAATGTAAGAGCTTTCCCTTCTCTCCCGTTTGCATAGGAGTAAGGATTCGTGGACTCCTGTTCTGTAATGAGTTATGATTCACTGCCATGTATTTGTTTTCATATTCAGTATATTCCAGATTTGTCTAGTGAGAGCTCTTCAGGCTGGCTCCTCTGTCCTTTGGACACATCCTCATGATTCCTTGGGCTCTTTCTTATTTTACGGCTTAAGATGTTTTGGGCCCATCTTGTGCTTTCTCTGCTTGCTCTGTGTTGGTCTCATCACTGGGTAGTGATTCCATTGCTGGGAAGGCTCGGGCACTACTCACCCGGGCCTCTATTAATGGTGAGTCCTCACAGACATTCTCCCTTAGGAGCCAGTGTTGTGGCTCTACCAGCCCTTGTGGTTCTTAAGCTTGCCAGCTGCACCTCCACAGTGATCATCAGGGAACTTTGAAAAAAGACAGGGTGTTGACTCACAAGTCCTGCAGGGTACACGGCATGCCTAGGGCCACATAGCAAGGTCCTGGGGTGGTGGAGAGACAGCGAGAAAAAGGGAGAGAGAGAGACAGAGAGATCACGAGGGTGGTTCTGCCTTTGTTGGGGCTGAGGATGGGGTGCCTACAGTTTTGTGGGTTCACTGTTGATTAATTTAAAACATCAGAGTGGGAATTAAAGCGCAGGCAGGAAAAAACTAGTGGTCAGTCAAATGATCAGTTATCTAGGTCAAGCAGAGTTTTCTGTACAAGACGAAGGGAAGTTCATGGGTGGCCTGGCTTTTTGTCTGGTCATGTAGCTGGTAATGTGTTGGAGTTGAATGTCTTCGAAGTGGATGCCCCAGCTACCAAAAGCTTGATGCCAGACACTCATACTATAGTCAAAAAAGCTAATTGTCAGGTGCTTACAGTATGCTGTCCTGGCCGTGGAGCCAGTCAGTTCTTCAAGGTGCCCAGGTTCCTTTATGGAAGGAAGGGTATTAAAAACCTAGACTTGAGCGCCAAGTGTTCTTTGACATTTTGTGTCGTTTCCAGGCCCTCTCAGCAGACAGAGCGAGGGGGTTTGTGGGTATGTAAGCACATATCTAATATATGAACCCCTCCAAATATATGTATATTTAAAATGTAGACTTTTTAAAACAAAACTCATGGATGTAGGATTCTGATTAGACGCAGGTGTGTATTTTTGGATAACTGTCATTCCTTTTCTCTTCATCTTAAACAGGTGGCTAAACCCCTTGTTTAAAATCGGTCACAAACGGAGAATAGAAGAAGATGATATGTACTCAGTGCTTCCACAAGATCGCTCAAAGCACCTTGGAGAAGAGTTGCAAGGGTAAGCAACAGGCAGTAAGGAGAAGGGTAAGGAAGGAGAACCCCTAGGTGTGTATGTGGCTAATTGTTTGCAGGGGGTGCTGCCTTCCTTTGGGCCCTTCTGGAGCCTATGTCCCCTAACCCCTAACCCCTAACATGACACATTCCCTCCCCTCAGGCTGTCCCTGGGCTTAGCCTGCTTTGGAGGGTGGGTGAAGCCTGTGTTTCCTGTGCATTTGTGGAAGTGGAGGGAACCTCCAGCAAAGGCTCTGGATGCAGAGAACTGTCCTGGGAGGAAGTTTCCCTGGAGGAAGTTATCTGTACTCCTGTCTGCCCTCTTGGGGAGCTAGCTGGAAATCCCACAGAGCTTGGCAATAACTTGTTTCCTGAGACTGGGACTTTTCCCGCACCCCCCATCTTGCAGGAGCCCTGCAGACAGTTAGGCAGCATTTATGGGACAGCGGTGAAGTGCCCTGCAATAGACACTTAGCTTTCACTGGCTGCCTCCCCCGGTTTGCCCTGTGGCTGGGCATGCTGTTCTTTACCATGCTCTGTTTCTCATCGTAGGTACTGGGATAAAGAAGTCTTGAAAGCCAAGAGTGACTCTCGGAAGCCATCTTTAACAAAAGCAATCATCAAATGTTACTGGAAATCCTATGCAATTTTGGGAATTTTTACATTAATTGAGGTAAAAACTTTTACCTGTGGTGAACTGTTTTTCAGTATGTGTGGATTGCTATTTAAATCGACGGGACTATTGCCGGAAGAGGCGAGAAGTTTAAGGCCTAAGGATAAAACGTGTGTAGGGAACATGATGTAGCTCAGTGGTTGCGTTCATTGTTAGATTGGGCAGTTACTTAAATGACTGGACCTCAGGGAGGTTACTATTTTTTTTTTTACCAGTTAAAATAGAGTGTTGTAGAAGGACATCACTGTAAAGAAGATACATTTCATACCATGTCAGGACACTGTTGGTGCTCAGTAAATGTTATAAACACTGAGTGATCTTTGGCCAAAAGAAGATCCTACTACCTCAAGGAATATGTGGTCTGGAGGAAGTAAATTTGGACTGGCGCCCAGAATAACATGAGACATTTTACAGGTGCTCACCAAATAATAGTTAACTTGACCAGGCCAAATTTGATAAATGTTCTTCCAAACAGGCATTGTCACCTTCCAGGAAGATAAAACCCCGAGGCCCTGCATCTGGGCTGGAGCCAGCCAGAGCTCCCAAGAGCAGACATGTTTCCAGGCCTTTGCAGTGGGCCGGGTACAATGCGCCAAAGCTCTCTCTTTGGAGAAGCTCTGGCTTCATCATGAATTCTGGAGAACTTGTGCACTGCGTACTCTGGTTTCTTATTCTTGGTTGTTGGGGTAGATTGCTGGTTGGAAGGAGTCTTGGTAGCCTGGCATTGCAGTGTGTACAGGGAATGTGCAGTGGAGAACCAGAGGCAGAAAGCCATGAGGTCAGTGACCTCCATTACCCTGAAGGCCTTGGTGAAGATCCTCAACTTAGACATTGTTCTACCTGTGGGGAGAGTGCCAGGAAGCCTGCCTGTTCTGGGTAGGTATGCTGAAAATCTACCTGCATAGCTCATGCTCTCTGTGGTACCTTAGTACTGCCTTAGGGACATTGATGGCCCTGCGTGTGCATGAGATTGGTAGAGACAGAAGTTGCAGTTGCTATGAAAGGGTTGTTTTAGCTGCAGAAGGGTGGTGAGTTGTCATAAGTGCATTTTGTTGGGAGTAAGATGGATGGGTCAGTTGATTTGTATGTGGGAGGTGTAGCTCCTGTTTAAAAGATTCTGTTGTAATGAAGGGCACTGTGGGCAGTGGGTAGCTCAGTAGGCAAACTCTGCCCTACATAGCTGGAGAAAACCAGAAAATCTGTCAGCTAATAGGTACAGGTGACTAGATGGTTCTGGGAGATTGAAGTTTTTGTTGATGACCAGTGTGGGTTGGCCAGTGCAGCAGAGGGTAGGAACAGGTATATGGGGCAGAGTGCCTCCTTTGAGAGGGAGCCAACCACCAGCTGGGTACTGCTGTGGCCTTGTGAAGGGCAGAGTGGAGATGCAAACCAGTGTGACTGACTTGGGGGTATTAGAGGATGCAGGAGCCCCCCAGGCTGTCCAGCATCTCTTAGACCTGTGCACATATGTGCCAAGTGATGGTGTTTCTACATTGTTATAATGTCTCAGTTTGAAATGAGCAGGTGGTAAGCTGGTGTCATTGTGGCCTGTGTAGGTAGCATTTCCCGACCAAATGTACCTGCTCACCTCACAGAGCAGAGCTCTCATGAATTCTGCTTGCCCCAGGAGTCCTCAGAGCCTCAGGATGTACCTGTGTCCCACACTAAGTGGCCTCGGGTTAGTGTGAGATTGTATCCTGGAGCAGGCTCCCTCTGCTGCCCTCGGTTCTCTAGTTTCCCTATGCTACCAGGTGCTGCAGAAGTTAAAGACAGATCTCAAAGGGTAGCCCCTGTCACTGGGTTTGAACTGAGCTTCTGGTTTTCCTCACTGTCATGGGCTGCTGGCTCCATGAGACCCCTTGGGATGGGGTCTCTCAGACCCAGATGGTGAATAGATCCTATCTCAAAATGAGCTTCGGGTCTTTACTGGACAGAATTTGGGAGATGTAGACACGGAGGTAGAGCTGCAAAAGCTAGGGTTCCTCCTGAGAGGGGATAGGCCCCACTGTGGTGCTGGGATTATTCCCCCAGTAATAAACTGTTGGGAGACCCAGGACACCGAGGACTGGGGGGCTGAGTGCAGGTGTAGCAGCTGGTAGCTGGGCTCTCTTTCAGGAGATTGGTTAGTCATGGCAGAAAAGTGGGGAATAGAGTGCCTGGCCAACATGGGGGCACATATCCAGTAGTATTAGTATTAATATTAGTCTGGGTAGCAGCCGTAGTAGAGGCTCATACTCAGCAGTGGTAGTGCTAATACTTGTCAATAGTAATAGTAGCAGCAGTGGTTCATATTGAGTGGTATTAGTACTAGTAGCAGTTTCAGCAGGGGCTTACTCAGTGTTGGTGGCGGCAGCAGCAGTATTATTAGTGTGGTAATAACAGTAAGAACTTGACAAATGTGTATCAGGAACTGCTTTGAGCACTTTACATATAATATTACATTATTCCTTTGGCCAACTCAAATGAGGTGGAAAGTATTCTTACAGCCCTATTTTAGAAAAGAGGACACACAGTTCCAAGTAGTTAACATGCTGTACCCAGGGTCACACAAAGCATAACGTGGCAGAGCCATGATTCTGTCTTGGGTGCTCTGACTTATGAGTCTGACCATATCTGTGACTGATAGCCTGCCCAGTGTCCTCAGAGTTTCAGACGCTTGCATCTTGGATTTGGCCTAGCTATGATAAGATGCTAAAAACTCCCTGGAGCAGGAAGTCAGGATGCCCCCCCCCC